ACACACATGTATAGTTTATTTAATGATTAAAATTAACATATTATCTGTATCTTGTATGATTCTAAAACAAACAGAAAAATGCAAATGCAATGGATTACTCATACTCAAGTAATAAAAACTATGCTTGATGTCTTGCAACCCATTTTAAGCTTCTCTTTTTATCTTTCCTTTTTATTCCTACATCCTGGCAGGATAACCAGTTAGAATTCCTAGAGGATGATTTGTTCATCGACCTTCTGAACCTCAGTCATCTCTTCCTACATGGCAATCGTCTATGGAGTCTTCGCCAGAACACTTTTCGAGGTCTAGGAGTCTTAGACCGGCTCCTTCTCCACCAGAATCGAATCCAGTGGGTTGATCGTCAGGCCTTCCATGACCTTCGGCGTCTCACTACTTTGTACCTGTTTAATAACTCCCTCACTGAGTTGTCTGGTGCCACCCTGACTCTTCTGCCGGCCCTGGAGTACCTGCGACTCAACGACAACCCCTGGGAGTGTGACTGCAAGGCCCTGTCACTTTGGGATTGGCTGCGGAGGTTCAGAGGCTCCACCTCCTCTCTGATGTGTGTTTCGCCGCCTGAGCTGACGGGGAGGGACCTGAAAACGCTCAAGAAAGAGGAGCTGCCCAGTTGCATATCAGGCGAGAGTCATGCGCATGGCGCCCCAGGCAGAGAGATTGAGCACGGGGAGTCTTTAAACCACCTGAATCGTCACAGAAACCATCACAACCACCATCAGCGGCCATACTTGCCCCACGGGGACCAGTACAGCTTGCCTTCACCCTCACCCCTACCACGGCCACCTAAAGGAGGCCGCCGAAACTGTACTCGCCGTGGCCGCAAGGCAAAAGGGGGGCTCAATGAGGTGCAGGTACTTCAGGAGGGGGGTGAAAAAGACTACACTCCAGATGGCGATAAATATGACCTGTCTGCCACAACAAGGAGGAAGAACAAGTGCATCCCCAGAACTTCCGTTGGCCCACCAATTGGGGTCCAGAGAGCTAATAACAAAGCAGGGTCACATCATGCAGGTTTAGTTTCGTGTTTGTCATCAGCTCTGCTGCTGTCACTCTACTTTGTGATCCTACGTTGAGGCAGGAAACGGACACTGTTGTGCTGGTGATGCAACCATATGATTCATTCTCCTGAACCACCTTGTTCTGGCTCTTTAAATGAGGCATGTGCACATAAATGTGTGTGTAAATGACTGTGTACAAAGGACATCACTGAAAATCCCTGTGGTATTAATGCAGGGGTCATTCTGAGTCATAATCAATACATGTTAGTCAGGGAAAACTATTTTGCCCACTTGCTTTGATGATGTCACCAAGGGAAACAACAGGAAAACTTTTGTGTCTCTGGCATCAACTGCTTCACTGAATTTATGTACAGCCACATAAAATAACAAGCCAATAATTCAGCAACAGGAACACACAGTAAGTATCAAAACAGTTCATGGCTCGGTCTCTGCGTTTAGCCCCCGTGACACGATAGCGCTCTCAACCGCAACCTCCATCTGTCAGTCAAGCCGAGAGGAAGACATACTCATTTGTAGCTGTCACCGTACTCACTCAGCAACACCTTAAGATCAAGAAAGAAAATACCGCTGACACAAGTGGCAGGAAAATGAGTCATTGTGAAACGTTTAGCAGTAATAGCTATAACCATTATATACCTGCAAATAAAGTGGTTTTCGTTCACGTATCAGGACAAGTTTAATGTGAATCTGTATGCTTAACTTTTTACTTTTTAGTCTAAATTCTGAAAGTACCACAGAAATTGTCACTCAACTATTCGCCATTCAGGTCTTCAAACTGTTGAAAACTATAATCTGTCTGTGCCCTCACATCGAAACTTCAAAAAGCCATTCAGAACTAACCAATCGTTCAAGGAGCCAGCTGGTCACAGTCAGTGTAAATGAATGGGAACGAGTGACTGAAAAAAATTACGATTTTTTTGTATTAATGTTTGTATGTATATGTGTGTGTATGTGTGTGTGTGTGTCCTCTAAAAAATTAAATTAAAAAACGCTAAAGCCATGCGGGTAGAATGAAGTTAGAAAGCAAGAGTGCCTATCGAGAGCCAGTTTCCAATATGGGCAAAACTTTGGAATTTCATTCAGCCTTTGACCTCTGTGGCTACAAAACAGAGGCTCGGCTTATGCAGGTCAAGGAAAAGCTGAGGCCTGAGCCAGACTCACAATTCCAAGAAACAGATATGCACTTTCCTCTTTCATACCACAGAGGCTATAAATACATCTTCTAAAGAGAGATGATCCAATCCAAATATTCTTCGGAAGCTTTCAATCAGATGATGATCACCACAAGTCACGACATCTTCTGCAAAGATCCAATCGTTCATCAAAAGGAGAGCAGAGAAGTAGCTCAAAATCTGTGATGATCACCGGATGACTGACAAACTCCTGGTTTTCTCTCTTTGTTTAGTGTGCTCCGAAACAGACGGACTCATCGATGTGCAAGCCCTGACTGGAGACTTGGATTTTAATGCTGCTACGTTTGAGGAGAGAGAATCCCATTGGCCTTTTGTTGGCTCGGGACCCCTCTTCAAGAAATTAAAAAAAGCACAGAAAGAACTGTGTGACATGGCGCCCTTTGAGAGGTTCAAGCACACACCCTCTAACCCTCCCAAAATAGCCCAATCTATCACCTTCACAGCCTTCCTGTCCCACTATAAACTCCCCATGAGTCCAAGGTTTTCGAATCACAAACAGCACCACAGATAATGCCGAGACTTTGACTCAGTCACTCAGCCAAAGTGCTCAATGACAAAACCTGTACAGATACTCATGGGCCACCCGGGTACCTTGGCAAGCCAGTAATGCTAAAGATCTCTTTGTTTCTTTTACAATTACAAAGTTATAAATCTTATTTTGAAAAAGAAAAATACCCTTTTATGCAAAAGATGAACTATAAGCTTAAAAAAAACAAGCTAAATAATTGGCACGCTAACAAAAAGCACAAAGAATAATGAGTTTAGTTTTGCTGGCATCCTAAAAATACCTGGTTTTGATGGGAATTCATGAGCAGGGCCCGCATTTGTACCCTGCTTGGGTGTGTTTCCCACTGAGCCCCGCCTTTTCATGTCTCTCTATCTAGATGTCGGGAAGCCTGTCACTTGAGTCATTCTCCTGACATGTAGGATTTAGAAATCCCTACTGGTGAACTTGTTTGTGCTGCTGTTAACCCAGAGGTGATGTAAATTGTGTCTGTTTATTCCTGTGAGGATGACTTTTATATATATATTAAAAAAAAGAGAAAAAAAAGTGGATAAACTGATTCTCTGATGTGTCTCAGTAGTTCCCTCAAAAAAAAAAGAGAGAGACTAAAAACAGGGAGCTTGAGGCTGGAACTTTTATTATTATTTTTTAAATATGATTTTTATCATTATATCATTTTCCCTTTCAGTCTTTTATTTTTGCTTTCCTGTTTTGTTTTCGCTGACTCACTGAAGATAAACGGTACACTGCACTGCTCCACCCCCAACCCCTCCCCTTACCGCTCCTCCAGCTTTCCTATTCATCCCCTTTTTTCCCTCCCCTCCCCTTCTCCTCACCCCTCCAAAACTTGCATCCTTTCTCTCTCCTTGTCTGTCTGTCTATTCTCTTTTCCTTCTCCTCCTTCTCTGCTCCTTTCCTTGCTACTCCCAACGCACACAAACACACACACACACACACACACACACACACACACACACACACACACACACACACACACACACACATACAGCTCTATCTCTAAACTCTTTTCCTTTACTCTCTTCCTTTGTGCAACCCAAATGTTTTGTATGTGGTTATCAAACAATGCCAGACTCAAAAGCTGTTTATAAATAACATTAAACAGAAAGTGTCCTCAAATGGCTGAGGTGGTCTTGTGTTTGTTTGCCTCCCTTTTGTCAGCACATATGCGCATCTGTCTGTGTGTGGCTAATAGACATAAGTTTATAATGAGCCCTGGGGCTGAATGATAAGTGAGTGAAAGGAGAGGAAAATGGTTAAAAAGTTTTTTTTTTAAAAAGAAAAAAAAAGCTAATGAATAAGTATGCACATCATCTACTGCTCGGAGAGAAACACTCACATTTAGCCAGGATATATTTTGGCCTGCTTCGTGTCCTAGTTTCACTCACTACGCTGCAGCCTCATATTAAATATGTATCAGAGTGAGTCTAAGTACATGCGCGCACACAAACTGTCAAATACACTCACCTGTCGAGCTCTATTAGCTGCGAGGGTGCCAGTGAGTTGTCTTGCGTCGGGTCAAGGCGAGGTCGGCTAGAGCGTTGGCATGTGCCGTGCTTGCTTTAAATGTGTTCGTGTTCATGCTCATGCATGTGTCCGCATGTGAATTGTTGTATTGATGCAGGCGTGCGTGTTTGTGCACTAAATATGCATGCTCACCGCTGTACCTTGTATGCACACTGGCTCAGATCTAGCCTGACAGCCGGCTAGGGCAAAGAGAGGTGTGCCTTTGAGAGACAATATCACTGCTCTGTTTGTAAAACAAAGCTGACAATTGGGAGAGAGAGAGAGTGAATTAGACACTAGAATTTAAGGCAGAAGGGTGGATGTCCATGAAGTAGTTATCAGCGCCAGACAGACCAGCGGCCAGGGGACAGGAAGTCAGCATAACACAGGTGGCTCCAGCATCAGCGGCTGCTGGTGTACAGTCGGTCGCTGTGTGCGTCCCAAATGAAGCCTGGGTTGCAGCTTACATGTGTTCATTCATGTAGAGGCACTATGCAAACCACTAGAAGCCAGCATTTAAATTAAGCAGAAAGGTTCTGCATCAGTGAGTTCGGGGAGATTTATGAAATATGAATCTGTTTCTAAAATTGAAGTCACATGGTTCAAAGGGTATTAATTATAAAGGTAGTTGAAGTAAAAGGTTTATGAGCACAATAAAGAATGGCCAGTGAAACTGCAGGAGGTGAGATGTATGGAAGATGCGAAGGAAAGAAGACTGAATACTAATATCAGATGATGAAAAAAGACATTAGACTAAGATAAGGTGAGAAAATATAAAGTGCGTTTTTTCTAATGATGTAAATTTTAAAAAGTTACCCCCCACAACTCACACCTGATTACATCAAAGCCTATTGAATTAAGAAATCCCTCAACAAATCGTCCAAACGATCTAAAATAACTCAAGAACAGCTGAGAAACAACATCATTAGTCTAGAAAGGGTTACAAAGCCATTTCTAAGGCCTTGAGTGAACCCAGCCTGGTGAACCACAGTGAGAGTAATTATCCACAAATGGAGAAAACTTGGGACAGTGGTGAACCTTCCCAGGAGAGGCCGGTCAACCAAAACTATTCCAGAAGAGCATCAGTTGAGGTCAGAGTTCATGATTCAACAGTAAGAGAATGAGCAGAAATGAGGAAAAATGGCATCCATGGGAGAGGGGCATTTTCACATTAGATAAAAAATTTCTTGATGACTGGCACTCGGATTATTCAGCAAAGGAATGATGGGAAACACCAGCAAGTCTACCTCTGAATACCTCAAAAAAGAAATTCACCTGAGATGTTTCGGCTTGACCTTAAACAGGCCATTCATACGTGAAAATCCTCCACTGTGGCTGAATTAAAACAATTCTGCAAAGAACAGTGAGCCAAAATTCCTCCACGGTGATGTGAAAGACTCCTCCCCAGTCAATGCAAATGCTGGTATTGTAGTTCTTACTGCCAGTTATTAGATTTAGGAAGGAAATCACTTTTTCACACAGGTCCAGGCAGGTTCAGATTACGCCTTTTTCTCCGTTGAATGACTGAAATAATTGAATGAATTAAAAACTGCATTTTGTATTTATTCAGCTTATCTTTGACTAATATTAAAATTTGTTTGATGATCTGAAATATGTCATGGTGACATATATGCAAAATAATTTCTCAGCACTACATAACAGACAAGAACATGATGAATTAATAAAAATGACCAAGTTGGCAAATGTCAGCGTTAGGAATCTCTGAACAAACAGGAAATTTTGGGTAGAAATTAGAAATTTTAATAAGAACATATGGAAAAATAAAACAAGAAAGGTAAAAGTGAGGAAGAGAAGTGTGATAAATAATAGGATCCTTCCTATTATTTATCACGCTTCAAGTGTAGGAAGAGTTTGGAGAAGAGAGAGAAGAAAAAAAGCAATCAACAGACGTAACAGATGCCGTTAAAGTCAATCAGAGGAATGGAAGGAGGAAATTAAAGAAGAGAAGGATGCATGGGGGAAAAAGAGAAAACATTCAGAGACAGATGTATGCAAGCTTCATGATCAAACAGTAGAACAGCTCATCCACTAGTTCAGTCCCTAAGCTGAGGATCTAAAATAGCCGCATGTGAATATTTATATATATTCCATCGGCAAAGAGGCCAGGCAAAATTGATTTCTCTGTGTGAATCCCCGAAGAGTTGAGACTCAGCAAAAGAAAAGCAGCAAAGAGCAAGGGAGAGTAAAGCGAAAGAAATAAAGCTATTCTAGAAAGAACAGAGGAGGATTTTTGTGAAATGAGTCAAAAACGAAGAAATGAGAGACACCTTCGGCTAAACGCAAGTGTACAACTGCACCACACTGATGCAAATGTTCGTCTCGCATACAATCTATACCAGTAAGACTGCAAGAATATAATTCACACTATCTTACTTGATTTTCATTCCCATCACCATCCGAGTGCATTGCATCTCTCGCGCACCAGCTCACATGCCTTACAGTTGCTGGCTGTAAGCACCATTTAACACCAGCCATCTTTCCATGGCCATAACCATCAGGCTACATTACTCTCATTATCGGCAAATATATGGTTCTAATTAGAGAGAAGGTCAAAGTATTGAACTGTGACTGAGCTAGTGGAAACTGTGAGCCTGTACATTTCTAGATGTGAAACTTTTTCAAAAGTTTCAAGTTTGAAGTTAACACTTGCATGGCACTTACTTGCTGATGGCCAGTGTAATCTTCCTGTACTGGGTTCCTTCTTTATGAAGTGCGTCTACATATTATTGCCACTTGACAAGCCTCATAAAAAGGCAATAAAAGTTCATGTGCATATGAAAAATCAGCAGGACTCACACACAGTTTGAGGCGTTTTCAGCCTTTTAGCAGCAGAGACTTACACAAGGAAACGTGAGAAATGACATTTGAAAATGCAGCTGAAGTTTTCATTACCTCTTGCAAATGTGTTATAAATCAAACATATGTCAGAGTGATTTCCTAAATTTTAGAGTCTTGCTGCAGTTTTATTAAATGTTTCATCATCCTGGATTTATGTTATAAATAAGTAAAATCTGTATCTGTGCCATAACGTGGCAGCATATGCACTCGCAGAAACAATATTAGTGTTATCTCCATTTTTAATGCACTGTTCTTTTTTTTTTTTTACTAAGCAATCTGGAAACTGAGGTCAAAATTAATTGAAACACATCGGAAAGGAAGTGACAGTAGGCAGGCGTTTTTGTCACCATGCTAGTTCCCATCTGAGAAATTAATTTCACTGTCAAAGCATGGCTGCACAAGAGCATAGCTTAGAAACTATTTGTGGGCATAAATAATAAATGCTGTGGAGAGCAAAACAATCCAAGAGTTGGGCAAAATGTGTTTTGGATACCTTAACTAGAGCCTGTAGCTACAGCCCGGTGAGACCCACTTCAGCACATTGTATGTATGTAGGTATCCTAATATGCTGTCACTTAAAGTTCGCCACAATTGGTATCTCAGCGTGCAACAGTGTGAAATAATATCTGAGAACTTGTATTATGTAACATAATACAAGTTCTCAGATATTCTTACATTTTTGAGCGCTTTTTAAGTGAAGCTTATGCATGTTTGTTTAGGAGGGTCTATATTCACTCATCTGCCTGCATTCCTGGCTTTAAATTGCACTGCTCTTCTGTCATTTTGCCTTTCAGACTTTCATTCATGTGAAACATCATCTCCACTTCCTTCTGTGCCACCACTATTTTTCCTACATTATAGGCTCCAATCAGACTCTAATCGTAAAAATAGTTTAATGTTTAGTTCTTTTCAATGATCTCTCATTATTAAAAGGTTATTTTTGTTAAGGAGAGGCTGTGTTGTGTTGGCAGACAAAGAATAAACTTAAAAGCAGCTTTATAGTTGAACACTCACTGAATACAAAACAAAACAAGACCTAATATTTCACAACAAGAATCTTCCAGGAAAAAAAACACACTATGAGGAAGGCAGAATGAAGACAGAGACCAAAGGGAGACAGACAATAAATACAAACCCATGATAATAAGCAGATTTGAAACAGGTGGGAATGCAGCCATGAAACACAAGCGACTAAAGACTACCAAAGTAAAACAGGAAGTGAGATAAGACAGACTAACAGCATACAAATTTTCACATAAGTAAAAACCAGAAGAAAAGGCCGAGCGAACAGAACAGGAACACAAGAGGAGATCAACCTAAGGATCTCAGAGGCAAAGAAAAAATAATGAACAAGAAATAGGAGAGATTTAAAAACTAACCAATACACACAACAGAACTATAAAACAAAAATAACGAAAGATTCAAAATCAGAAAAACTCCAAAGATCCCAAAACTCAAAACGACCATGAATGCTCCACTAATTATTTAAATATTTCTGTGTGGACCAAAGCAGTTGGCTGAGTGACAAAGTGACAGACTGGCATTGCCATCCTCCAGCAATGCCACTACTCTAAGTAAACATGTGGCTGAATGTCAGTCTTTTTCAATGTCCAAATGTCAAAGTCCTGTGTTGTTTGGATCATTAAATGCTAGTTTGTCAGGTGCTCTCTATTTGATTCTGTTTGCTACAGTGGACACTTTTTCATCCTCATCTGTGTTCTTTAGCATTTTGAACCTTTTGCTATTAGTTACAGTTTTGTTTGTATTAAAGCTAAAATGCTCCCTCAGGGTCTCCTGTGTTAAGTTTATTCCTGTGTCTGTGCTTCCGCGTTTAGTTATTAACTGTTGTTTCCTGTTTTGTTTTGGTAGTTATTTGTCTCCTGTGTTTTGCGTTTAATTTTACTTCCCCTCCCAGCTCATTGTCTTTGATTACATTACCTGTGTCTCCTTACTCTCCTCTGTCCAATTCCCTGATTACCCTTTGGTGTATAAATAGTGCTGTCTTCCCCTCAGTCTTAATTTCTGTCTGTTACCCTTACTTATGTGTTCCCTGCCTGGATATGGTTTTGTGCTGTCATTTGGGTTTTTGTGTTGGCTTTTCCACTGGTTGAATTAAAGGTGTATTTTCAGTTCGTCCAGTTTGCCTCAAGAGCCTGCATTTGGATCCCTTAGCTGGCAATTTATGGCACTTATATTGTTTGGGTAAATATTTGTGTTCAACATATGTAAACAGGGTCAGCCAGAGCATAAGGACTGGATGGGAGCCAACTTGAATGCAATGGAGAGGTGGGTGTCCACGAAACAGAAATTATTACACAGTGGGAAACTGGGCAATTTAGATGTAAAATGTAGAGACACTCATAATTAACAGATTTATGCAGTTGGCATATTTACAGGCTACACAACAAATTCCTGGATGAACAAAATGTACATTAAACCTTGTTAAGAACCAGTGTGTATAATTGTGCATATACTGCAGAAAGAGAAATGTGGACACATTTACAAAAGTGTACGTAATGCATTGCTAAGACAACATAGTAAGCAATGCAGGAGAAATGTTTTTATCAAGGTGCACAAGCTGTGTAGTGCACCCACAATGCATTAGGACAGCTAGAGTTGGCCGCTGTGACTGCATAATCTTCTCAAAGTTTTTGTTTTGCAATTTTCAGATCACATCGTTCTTAAAAGACAGCTGCGTAGGTTTAATGGCCTGTTTTTAGTTCCACAGAGATGTGATTGGTACTTCTGTCCATCCTCTCCAGAATCACTGGGTTCTTCACTTCTTAACCTCTATTGCTCCAGATGTTGTGTGGCTATTAAAGACGTTTAGTTATTGCAAATGTGGGAAGTTGACTCTTTATTACTGTTTCATTTTTGCACTGATCATCACCTGCACACATGTATATATTAATCTGTTTAGCACTTTTAATTCTTATTTTTATATTTATTTAAGTTTTGTCTTACAGTATGTTTTGCACTAAGTACTGCAGCAATTTTGTAATGTTGTAAACCTGCTCAACATTTGGCAATAAAACCCTTTCTGATTCTGGTTCTGATTCTAATCTATATGGCTCCATTTTACTTATAGTTGTAAATGTATGTCAGGGCCCATAGCCCAACAAAAAAAAAGTTAGGAACATCACCAAGACCTCCGTTACTAATGTGGTCCTATGTATTATTTCTAAGGGCTCTGCTGTACTGGGTGGTTTGAAACCACTTCTGGTGGAGACAGCATGTCACTTTTAGTCCTCTACCTGTCATCTAGATGCTGTCCCAAATTAATTCCTATGCCACAAGTCCTTCTAAATGATTAATTATTTGCCTTTTTTTGGCAGTGAGCCATTCTCTTTTTAGTCCCAGACACTCGGGATTACCCCCTACGTCGATAAAGGCTTGTCTTGGGTTTTGATCTCATCACAGTGTCCTGGCTTCTGAACTCACATCCCTTTCAAACCACCACACTTGGCTTTTGCAGTTTGGAGACATTTTACCATCAAGAGTATTTCTTATATTCTCTCGGTAAGCTGGAAGGTAAAAGGCTCGACTATCTCAACTGCTTGTGGTTACCAGAATTCTTTTAAGAGTTATTACTTATCAATTTATGAACCTGTAAATCTAACCATTCGTGTGAACTATGCGACTGATGAGTCTGAACTAAGAATTTGAGTTTTCACAATCATTTTGTTTTTCAAGGTCACCCATGTATCGAGCTAAATGCTTGCAGTTAGTTTACTTACTTCGAAAGATTCTATTTTAGACATACTTTCTTACTTTTGATCAGTAAAAGACCTTTTCTTTTTAAGCTGTGGCATTTCAAATGTACAATACACATGAAGATCTACAGAGCTGAGACTTTGCAAGACTTTATCTTTTTCAGTAACCTCACAGTCTCAGCAGCGATGATAAACTTCCTCCAAAATTAGATACAGAGCCCAACACAAGCCATATACATGTGTCTATCCACCAACACGGAAACTCCAAGCAGTGCAGGGAACTGATGTTTAGTGAACTGATACAGATAAGGCATAACCCAGCAAGTCACCTGAAATAAAGCATCAGTCTAAGCCACCTTTGATGCACATAAATGTATCCTTCACTTCATATGAGAACACTATCACTGTCACTCTGATAATTTGATCAGACAGGGATAACAACCAGATGCCCGGATATACTGTAATGTTAGGCATAGAATCATACATAATGCTCACAATGAGCATTAAGATCTAATTATGACACAGTAAACAGCAAAGACAGAGAAACACATTTTGTTCAAATCATTTACATAAATAGAAAAAAAACATAGTATTCCCATATAGTTTGGGAGCATCTGTGTCATCTCCAACACCAGTTCCAGTTTCTAGCCTTTAAAGTTTATCAATCATTTTTCATTTCAGCAAAGGGGTGAGTGACCTCTCTGTAACTCAATAGTCACTTTGTGCAACCTCAGTTTTGAGAGACTGCAGAGAGAGACAATCTGCAGATTTGCACCATGTGCACGCCACCGTTACTGACACGCCTGCAAGAACGGCACCTCCGCTTGTATTTTGGGTTAAAAGGTGTTGCTTTGACTTTGTGGAATAAATGGAAAAGGTGTTTATTTCAATTCCTATCAAACAAGCTAATTCACTGACAGTGAACTTCTCAAAACTCAAAGCTGAGACTTTACTGCGGCACCACAGATCAATACAGGGGCACATGGCACAGTGACAGGGGTCAGCAACACCAATAAATGAGGCGGATAAAGACAAATAAAAATGAAAGTTCTGCTTTATATGTCTAAATAGGGGGATTTATTTTGACAGGCATGAACCAATAATCACTTAAACTGGCCGCAGACACTGTCTCTGACCCTAAGAGATACAGATTTTGAATTTAAAGCTGTCCACACATTCACCTAACAAATCTCTTTGGTGAGGCAATTCTTCTCAATGCATAGAAATCTACCAAATCAGACTACCCACTAGTAGTTTGATTTGATAGGGGTTGCCACAGCTACCTAGTGTGGCAACCCCTTGTGAATGAGGGAGCAGCCAAAAGTAGCTTATTTTTGAATTAGTGAAGACTTCCTAGATCCAGACTTAAAAGCAGAGGTGATAGAGCCTTTTCAGTGGTGGCTCCTAATCTTTGGAATAACCTACATTTTCACAAAAGAGATGCAGATTCTCTAAATCATTTTAAAACACTGTTAAACACCTATTCATTTTCACTTGCTTTTAGTTTTAGTTGAGCAGGGTACCCTGCCCTTTGTTATTCAAACATAGTGTTATTCATTTTTTTATTTCATTAGATGATTTATAATGTATGTTTATTGTTGATTTAGTGATTGCTATGTATAGTCTATCTTTTGTATAACATATCACTTTGGTCATCTTAGGTTGTTTAAGATTTGCTATAGAAATACATTTTGACTTGACTTACACTGGCAAATGTAATTCTGGAGGTGATTCTGAACGACCTCAAACACAATTTGTGGCTTTTCTGTTACAGTAGTTTTTGTAACTTAAAGGCCAGCATGCAGTTTTGTTAAATAATCTGACAAATATTTTCTGTGCCCTGCTTTCAGCCGAAGCCCTTTACAATTGACCCTTCACTCACCTCTACTCACACAAAACACCCCTTGGAGGTAAGCTACCACACAATACACTAACTAGTCATCAAGAGCTATTAGGTTTCAGTGTGTTGGTCATGAATATCTGGGGGAAGGAATCCATCTGCCAAACCTTCGATTAGTCCATGATGAATGTATAGAGCTGTACAATGCAATTTTGGGCCATGAATCACAGTTTCAAAAGCAGAGGATTCTTATCACTGTACAGTGAATGAATTATTACATGCCTAGTGCCTGATAACAGCAGTGCAGAACAGTGGACTCGCAGACTGAGAAAAGTTAACATGACCAAGATGAGGTATAGCACTTACAACGACATGATTGCATTGCTAGTGGGATAGCTCCCATGCTATATAGAGCAGAGTTTGGCACCAACAACAGAGAAAAACTAAATAGTAGACAGTGTCCATTTTCTGGTCTCTGTTTTCTCATTTCAAAATCCACCTGCTGCAAAAAAATACTCCAATACCACTAGAACAGAAACAACCATAGTGACAGTTTCTGTGTAAAAAGAAAAAACAAAAGAAATCCTGGCAAAAAGTTATCTGGTTAAATTTTTTTTTCACATCCCAAAAATTGAACTCTTGAAATTATGCAGAGCAGCAGAGCTGTCACTGCATTTAATTATTAATGAGATCATGCATGGATCACAGTTTATCATCACTGTCATTAGGTTGACAAATGCAATATGTTGTATTATATTTCAACACATTGTTTCAATAAAATGCCATAAAATGAATGATGTGATTAACATTAAAAACACATGGTCTTAGTCATTGAGCATGAGTAAAAATCTTTTACAGGCACGGGTTTGTTAATGTTTTTCGAGTTTTCTGTTTCTCTCCTCACTTTGCAGCAGTAGAACCACTGACATTATTATATTTTCAAGTTGACACAGTAAACCTGATCACAAGCAGTTTCTTGGCTATTTACTTAGACAAATGTTTTGGAAAGTATTATCATTGATTTGGAGTTGTGTTTTTGACCATCTGGTGGGCGTAACCTAAGCCCTGTACTCACTCTCCTTTACTTCTGTTTTTGGTCTCTACATCTGCCAAGTGCTCCATGTGTTCAGTGGTTAGTTACTCTGCTGTGTGTTGTTCATCAGGTAAAAGTGGGTTTTTAAGCTAAAATATTTGATGGCTATAAAAGTAGTTCAGTGAGAGCCAAGAGAGTGACTCAAAACAATTAAAGGACAGATAGACAGCTAAACAATGAAATGAGACTAGTTATAAAGCCCCATAAATCATTCATTTAAAACTATCAAATTTGACACTTTTATTTGTTATAGTATTATTACAAATGTACTATAGCTGGTTTAAGTGAAAGTGGGAGCATCATTAAGTAAAAAATGGACATTAGGAAATATGTAACATTTTACCCAAGTAAAAGTGCACAAGAGCGATTAGTATTAAAAGTGTCAGTACATTAAAATGCATTAAAACATTACTGCATATTGATTTGTAATGCAGGGAAATATATTTTAAAGATTTCATTGATTTAAATGCCATTAGGAAGTCTGCCTATAGATCTGGTTCTTTATTAATTCACCTGTTGCCAATCCATCCAAATGGTCATCAACACATAAAAAACAATGACATTTTATAGTTGGTGGTGATGGAGCAGGTTGTAACAGCTGTACATGTTGCTGGTGATTATAGTTTTTCTTTTCAGGTTTTAAGATAATAATAATAAACTATAGTTGAGACATAAAGATAGTGGAGCAAAAAGAACAGTATAGGCTATCGCTCTGAACTAGTTTTTTTTTTTAACAACAACAACAAAAAAAGCGTGAAAAAGCCTTATGTTCAATGATGAGTCCAGAATCTGCCTGTAGCAGCTGGATCGTGTGCTGAAAACGTAGAGCACACTGATTGCTGCATCAGTAGGGTAACAGCTTTTGGTGGGGGCAGTATGATGAAGTGGGCCGGCATCTCCCTTACTTGAAAAACAAGGATTGTCATCACTGAAAGCAATCTCAATGGAGAGAGACATCAAGATGAGATTCTGCAATCCCTGTCTGCAGACCTGACCTGAATCCCATTGAACACTTGTGGGATGAGCTTGGGCATGCTGTTTATGCCAGTGTGACCAACACAACCACATTGATTGACTTGTGACACATCCTGGTTAATGAATGTGATGCCATCTCACAGTAGTGTATGACCAAATTGGCGACCAGCATGATGAAGAGGTGCAAGGGTATTGTAGTTATATATGGTTCTTCCACATGCTACCAAGGCCCCTGCTTGTTAAATTATTAAACTGTTAAATTGCCAATATGTCTTGTTTCCTCAGACTCCAATCACCCAATCCAATAAACAACACCAAACAAGTGTCAATAGCAGAATAAGCTGTTTGGGACCAGAGATGGGCAGTAACTGTAATCTGATTACTTTTTTCAGGTAGTGAGTAAAGTAAGGGATTACTATTGCAAAAACGGTAATTAGATTACCGTTACTTTCCCGTAGGAACGCTGCTGCGTTACTGCGTTACTAAAACCGTGATTTTTTTTGCAAGAATGTCTCATGACAGTGACGTAAGCGAGTGCGCCGTTAGTGCAACAGCTGTGTGCAGATCAACAATGGATCGCATATCGAGTGCGGGAGAGAGTATGAGCGTGCAGCGTTTAAAGCGTGGAAGTACTGACCTTACTTTGAGTTTGATTCCATAAAAAGTGACAAAAACATTAGTGTCCGTTGTGCGTGGGAAGAAAACTTCTTTTTACAGCGAAAAAAACCCCTAAACTTCCAAGCAAGCACTGAGTGCGCTACGACGTAATGGGAAACTCACAGAGAAACTCGCGGATTCTTCCACTGACCGCTGCGGCACACCT